AGCACAGGGAGATGCAGGTAGCACAGGGAGATGCAGAGAGCACAGGGATGCAGGTAGCACAGGGAGATGCAGAGAGCACAGGGATGCAGGGAGCACAGGGATGCAGGAAGCACCAGGAGATGGAGGGGGCGCAGGGGGGTGCCAGGAGCCTCAAGGCCGGCAGCACGGAATGTGCCGCTCGGCAGATAAGGAAACTATGCCGGAAAAACAAACGGCAGACGCACGGCTAGATCGGGACCCTTATTGCAATCAGGGAAAATCCTGCGCGCCGTCGTCTGCGCCGCTGGTTGAATTGCAGCTGCGCTTTGCATGCTTTTATCCTGGAGCGTGCAACTTGTGCCTGTTGCTAAATAAGGGCCTTTGGTGCGGGACACCGGAGTCCGTTTCGCCATACACTGGGTGCAGGGGGATGGAGGGAGCACCAGGAGATGGAGGGGGCACCCGAAAAGGGAGGGAGCAGCAGGAGAGGGAGCGCAGGGAGATGGAGGGGGCACTGGGGATGCCACGGATGCAGGGGATGCAGCGGGCATAGGGCCATGCAGCAGGTACAGGGGATGCAGAGGACACAGGGCATGCAGTGCATGCAGCGGATGCATTGGGCACAGGGGATGCAGCGGGCATAGGTGATACAGAGGACATAGCGGGTGCAGAGGACAGAGGGGGGTTGTGGGTTCGCAGGCGATGCAGTGCAGTGGGCGCAGGGGATGCAGCGGGCACAGGTGCATGCAGCAGGCACACACACTCAGCAGCCCCTACATCCTGATGGGCATGTGCACAGCAGCCCCTACATACGGGCAGACACGCATGCAGTGGGCACAGGGGGTGGGCAGACACACGGGATGCAGTGGGCACACAGGATGCAGTGGGCACAAGCGGTTGCAGCAAGTGCAGGGCATGCAGCGGGCACATGGGATGCAGAGCACACATGGGATGCAGCGGGCACAGGGGGATGCAGTGGGCACAGGGGATGTGGTGGGTGCACAGGATGCAGTGGGCACAGGGACTGCAGCGGGCACAAGGGTTGTAGTGGGCACAAGGAGATGCAGTGAGCACAGAGTTTGCAGTGGGCACAGGGGCTGCAGCAGGCGCAGGGGCTGCAGAGGGTGCACAGGTTGCAGCGGATGCACAGGATGCAGTGGGCACAAGGGGCTGCAGCAGACACAGAGGTTGCAATGGGCACAGGGGCTGCAGTGGGTGCACAGGATGCAGCGGGCACTGCGGGATGCAGAGCACACACGGGACACAGTGGGCACACGGGACACAGTGGGCACAGGGGCTGCAGCGGGCACAGGGGGATGCAGTGGTTGCATAGGATGATAGTGGGCATTGCGGGGCTGCAGTGGGCACAGTGGTTGCAGTGCACAGAGGAGGATGTAGCGAGCACAGTGGCTGCAGCGGGCACAGGGGCTGCAGTGGGCACAGGGGCTGCAGCAGGTGCACAGGTTGCAGTGGCTGCACAGGATGCGGTGGACACAGGTGGATGCGGTGGGCACAGTGGTTGCAGCGGGCACAGAGGCTGCAATGGGCACAGGGGCTGCAG